ATGGTGCTACGTAGTCCTCCCCGTGGTGAGAGTGAAGGAAATGCTCACAGCACCTGAAATAATTGATAATGTCCAAGTGGAAGAACAAGTTTTATGTTTATTTTTTTTTTTTTGCAGGTAAGATGAAAGGCACTAGCGGGCCGGAACCACTCATGGGTCAACCCATCCCGGTTTTGCGGCTAGACAATTTGGGAGAGTGAGGGGAGGTAAGGAAGTCACATCCCCCAAATTGTCATTAGTGGGGATTGAACCTCCAATCTCATGGTAGGAAGGTGCTCTCCTTAAGCTTGGTAAGTGGAAGAACAATTACAAAGATAAAACCGCAATAATGGAAGAAAGGCTGTTTGCAATACAGATGGGGGAAAAAGGAAAGATAAAAGATAGGTGATAGTTTCAAAAAAGGTGGTAAACTTGTTGCTTGCTGCTGCAGACACATATGTCGCTGCTAGCAAGCATATGATTTTTTGGTAAATTCAATGGCAGATTATCATACTTTTATGGTTTAATCACTTCATAGAATTTAAAACAGAACCTATTTGGATCCATTTGTCCCTCAAAAGAGATGCAAACATGTAGATAAAAGGATAAGCATATTATAGCTTAAAATACCAATGCACAATTGATTATCTAGAATTTTTAAATTTTACTATGTAACATGTACTTTCTCCATTCTATAATCACAAGGTGTTCCTTTCTGGGAAGATGCAGATTAAATACAACATCACCTTTTTGGGCTAATTGTTCTCTTTACCTCATCTCTCTTCATCACATTGGTTTTACTTTATCCCAATGTTGCCATCATCAAAACAATTGAGGAGGTAATATTTATGAAGGAAACGAATTCAAGTAATTCAACGACTGAACATTTTAATGTCATGCAATTTCAATACTAAGGCATCATATATCATCCCAACCTAGAAAGGAGCAGAAATTCACACCTGAAACTCTTAATTTTTCCACTTCATCTGCTAATAAAGTAACAAATATTTTTTTGGTAATCATAGTGATTAGATATGAAGTACACACAAGGATGACGAGTATAAAAGAAATTTAGACCAGTATTAGTTGATGGGGAAGGTGGTTAGCCATTAAACTTTTATCATTGCAAATAATCTCAGATTCAACCATCACAAGAACAAAAAGAAAACCCTCTTAATACCAATGGTAGATAACTATTTTATATTTCCAACAGAAAAAAGTTTACAACTTCTCTGTTTTCACAACTTATGCTGCTCAGACTCTTCAGAATTGTTAATCACTAGAAGTATCCCTCCAAAAAGCTTCAGTATGTCTTCCTGCTACTCTTCAAGAATCATAATTGACTATTCATATTTGTTTAGGTGACAGTGCACATCAAACACGAGCATGTCACAAGCCACTATATGACTCTACAGCCTAGACACCCAAGAACCAAGCATAATCCATAGTGATATTACGAAGAAAGTTCAAGGCCAGGTGTAAATTTCCTCCCAAAAGATTAGAAGAGCCTCCTAATATACTATATGTGCACAAGGATATAGGATACTTTCCTTATGCATGTATAATGTACACATGAAAACATAATAGGTTCTATGTGTTGGCTATAATTGAAGCATTCAAGTCTCCATACCTATTTGGAACGCAAATACGAAAGACTAATACTTGAGCTGTAAAGAGAGTTTAAGCACCATATAAGCAATGGAGTGGGGACTGGGGGGATCAAAATTACAACCAGTCGTTTTCCCAAAACTGAAAACCGGCTGCTTTGGCATTCACCTCTCGATTAAAAGGTGAATTCCTAAGCTCCTACTCTGTATTACCCTCCCAATAATAACAACAAAAAGAAGCAAGGAACGATTAACTGTGAAATTTAATCCAACCCATTTCAATCCAATAAAAAGAATAGTACAGTAGTAATCACATTACTTGTTAAGCTACCCATTATATTTTTACATAACCCCATTTCCGAAAACATTCATGATTTCCTACTCAAACTATCAAATTCAAAGTACAATTTCATTCAACCCATTTCAATCCAATAAACTACAATAGCAATCACATTATCATTTAACCTTCCCACAATATCTACCCATCCTAATTTCCCAGCAAATTCACAACTTCCAACTCAACCCACCACAATCAGAATCAGAAATTCACATCAATTGCATAAAACAATCATAAATTAATCCAAAGGGGGGTAAAATTACCAGTAGGAGAAGACCAAGCAGCATGAAGAACACACTTTTCCTGAACATTTGAGCAAAACCCAACAATAATTTTGTTAAGATCGCCTCGAAGAACAGAGCCATTCCAAACGGAAGCACCATCGCAGACATTAACCTGACCAGCAAGAACAACATTGGGAGCAACATATGCATCAACAGCGATCTTAGGGTTCCATTGACCCAAAAGGAATAGACAATCTCTGTCCTCTGTAATCCCATTTCACTCGATCTGGTGATTCGACTATCTCTCTCTTCGTCGGCGGCGGAGATTGCTGGTGGGGTTGCACGGCGGCGGCGCGGAGGAGAGAGAGCGGAGAGGGTTGTGATGGTGGGAGGAGAGAGAAAGTGGTGAGGTGAGTTTTAGGGCTTTTCTTGAGAGTCGAGCAAATGTCGCCATTGTTGTTGGAGGTAAGAGAGAGAGTAGCTGGTACTTGCTTGACACAATTTGTATGTTGAAGGTGGAGGAGGGCTCAAGGGAGTGTAGATGTGTTTTGGTGTTTGAGGGAGGAGCCCGGAAAGGTAAGGGACCTTTTTATTTTTTTGGCGATGTATGAATAAATGTCAAGGAAAGATTTAACCACTTGAACTATCTCTCCTCTGAAAGTGACTTTTGTGTGTGTCTTTTTTATTTCACTTTTGCATTTGCGGAAATGGACTTGACCTTATTGTGATTCAAAAAAAAAAAATCAAAGTCATGTTAAGATTTTTGTGTTTGCAACATTTGATCTTTATGGACACAAATGTACAAATAGTTATTCGATATGGTTTAATTAAATTTGAGTAGGCCTATGCTCATTTGATTCGTATGGAAAACGTTGTACAAATTGTTACAAAGTATTTGATATGGGTTGAATTGACTGAATCTAATCAGTATCGTAGACCTAATTTGACAACTTAATATCATACATTTAAATGGACTTGTTTTTCTGGCAATTGATAATAATAGTTCATTGTATGTTGTTTTAAGAATTGTTATGTTCACTTGATGTTTACAAGTTAAAGATTGAGGTGTTTCAAATGACATAGAAAATTCTTTTGATCCTAATAGTTCATTTTGTTTAATCGGAAAACATAGGTACTAGTAATCCTTTATCTCAGGGAAGGTTACTAGAAGATTCCTCCTACGAGTGTGTTCGGCAAAATATAGCTGTTAGTTGTAGTAGTACTGATTAGTTGTGCAAGTAGGTGTTAATCTCAAGAAAAGACTAATAGCCAGAGAAGATGTTGCGAAGGGAGGGGGGCTAAAAAAAGGGAGACGGCTAAAGAGGGTGAGTTTGTAGAGAGGTTTCTAGAAATTTCCTTTTAATTCATATAACATAGACGATATATGTGAAACATAGCATGAAGTTGACTTTAACACTTTGTTTGGATTATGGAAATGGAGGGAAGGGAAATTGAGGGATAGATTATCTTTCATTTGGATAATAAATGTGGAAGGAAGGGAATTAGAGGGGAGAGAAATGAAAGAATTAAATTGTAAGAATTTGATCTCTCCAACAATGAAGAGATTTGGAAGGAAAACTCATATTTCTTCCCTCCCCTCCCTTTCTCTTCCCTCCCTGCACCTCCCTCCCCTTCTTTTCTTTCCCATTTCTTTATCCAAACACACCCTAAGATAAGTTGCAACATCATTTTTTTTTTCTTCATCAAAAGGTAAAAAGTTAAGTCTTTTTTAGCTTGTCTATTATGAATAGCCAATATGTGATAAAAATGACACATGAGGCTAGTTATATAGTTACACAATAGTCCATCTCTTCCAAGAGACAATAACACAATCACCTTGAAACCTCTAATACAACTTCTTAATTGAGACTGTATAAATTAAACGTTGTTGCAAGATCTATATGTAGTTTTTAATTACTCTCTCTTAAATATTCAAAGTATCTTTGCTTTTGATGTAATAAGCATACATTAATTTCATCCAAAGTCATTTTGCTTTATTATAGTAACAAAATAAAATAAAATAAAAATATTATAGCTTTATTCTTATCAATTACGTTCACCAAGTTTCATCCCCTGCATACTTACATAAATGATCATAAATAAAAATAAAAATCAATAAAAGATTTTTCTGAAGGGGTTGTTAAATACCGCCAACAAAATTCATCATCATCGCCAACATTTCAATGAAATGAACCATCATGCCCTTTCTACTTCACTATCATCTTACCAGACCACCACGTTAATTAATACCACCACTCCCTCACCGACAATCCACCGCCTCCCCCTTGTTGGTGGAATGCTGGTGTTTTTTTACTTCTTGCAACCAAAATCAGGATCAATCGGTTTTTCTTGCAAATATACACATAATTTTATAATGCATAGTAATTTCTTAATTTCATTCATCCATTTGATTCCAATCTTATGATTCATCATCGTATTAAAAAAATTTAAATGACAAGAAAAAAAAACTACGATAAGTCTTATCTTACGTGGAATAAATCGTTAAATATGTGTCAAATAAGATCGTGACATTTTTTTATGGAAAAATGGAAAAGAAAAATCCAACCTTTGTACTTTTTCCTTACAAAAATCCAACCTTTAGTTTATTCCTCAAAAATCCAACCTTTATACCCTCCTTCCCCAACAGGTCCATTACCTTTTAAAACAGGTAAAATACCTACTTTTCTTAATCTAGCCGGTTTCCCTCCATTTAATACCGTTGTAGGGTAGTTAATACTCCCATTAATTCCCAAGTATCCTCCCTCTTTAAAAGCTCTGCCCTCCTCTCTGTTTTCTTCTTCTACTGCAATTCCATTTTAGGCTAATTGAAATCGTTAATTTTTTTCCAAAAAAATGGCAAGTCATCTTTCAGTTGGCTCTGGTTCTTCGAGGTCAAGGTCGAAGGGAAATTCTTCTTCCCCTGCAAAACTGGTATGCTACCACAATGAGTTAGCGCCATTGAGGACTGTTCGCTACGATGGTCCTACGAAGGGTAAACGGTTCTATGGCTGTTCGTACTGGCCTGTAAGTGTGTGAATTGTCTTTTATTTTTTAGATTAATTTTTTTGTGCGTTTTTTGTACGAAAGGGGTTTTAATTGAATTAATTTGTAGGAACAGAGGACATGTGGGTTCTTCAAATGGGCTGATGAGGTACGTGAATTGCAAAACATTATTGTTGAGAAGGAGGAAACAATTTCCGAGCTTGAGCATCAGGTGGAAATGTTGAAGCAAGATATGGATCTTATGAGGGATAAAGTGAAGAAATTGAAAGCAAAAAAAGGAGAAGTTGGTAGAGGAGGTTGAAGAGATGGGCATTGCTACTACTGAGACAATGTTCGAGCTGAAGGAGAATAACACTAACAAGAGGCTCATGATTACTCTGGTTTTTTCTTGGGCTTTTTTTCACTCTAGTGCTTATGTTTAAGTAAGTGAAGGGGTTGTGTGGGGGGGGGGTTTGGATGTTGTTGCAGGTTTTTAGGTAGGTGTTAGTAATAGTGCTGACTTTTGGGGATGTTTAAGGTGTAGGTGTTAGTGCTGACTTTTGGGGATGTATATGCAACAAGTAGTAGTACTAGGTTAATGGTTCTGTTTAGATGTCTGCAGTAGTTGTAGCAGACAATACTTGGCAAAAAAAAAAGTTTCCTTGTTTAGTATGGTCAATGTGGACCTATAAGGTGTTAATAATTGTAAATTTTGGGCAACTGATTTTAATGGAATGAACTCATGTTGTCGCTTTATTTGATGTTTTTTTTTTGTTTTTTTTTTGTATGCAAAATTTGAAAGAAAAGAAAGGCATAATGAACAACAACTGATAATAACAGCAACTGATAATAACAGCAACTGATAATAACAGCAACTGATAATACATTAATGTTGCAAAACACTTACATAAAGTAATCCAAATTCATACATGTGGACATTGAAATCAAAAACAAATTGTCTCCCAAAACAGACTTTAACTACTACTATTACAACTTTAAATCTGTTGAACTAGAGGAAGCTATGAAGTTGAGCCTTGGCTGAAGTTGTATGTCAAGGTTGTGGTTGTTAAGCTGGCATCTTGTGCTTGTGATTTTCCATGAACCTGTAACAAAAGCATCATGCCCAATGTTAATAAAATAGTCCTTAACACAGAACCTAAAAAAAATTAAAGATACAGATAGGAAGCTTACATAAGAGCTTCCATCTTGTGTAACAAAGTTCCCATAGCCCTTAGGAATACTTTGTCCCTTTCCTCTTCCACCTATTGAACCTTTGCCACCCCTTCCACCTCTACCACCCCTTCCCCTTGTACTGTGGACTTCCACACTGGCAGGAGGATCACTTTCCTTGCCAGCATCTTTTCTTGGCCTCCCCCTTCCCCTAGGTGCTCCAGTTGGAGTTGGTCCTGTGGTTGCTCCCTTGGTGCCTCCCCTACCTATTACCCTGCCACCTCTACCTATCCTTGAAGGCTCTGCAGTAGCAGTGAGGTGGGAAGCTGCAACAGTCTGTGCTGGTTGGGTAGCCTGAACCACAAGCTCTTTTCTAGGCCTACCTCTTGGCTTCTTTGCTGGGGGTTCTTGTGGCAGTGCTGTACCTTTATTAGGGCAGCTTCTCTTATTATGCCCCTTTGAGTTACAAACACCACAGGTCATTTCCATTCCATGCCTAGTTAGCTTCCCTAGTTTCTTAGGGTCTTCATAGGGGTCTTTCCTCCTATTTTTCCTAGGTCTACCCGGGCCTATCTTGATTGGTAGGGGGTCCATAATTAAGTCAGACATGGGCCAATGCCTTTCACCCTCTAATGGTGGTATGGAGTTTTCATATGCTTTCAGGTAAGTGTCTTTCTTGTAGCATTGATCCACATAATCCTCTGCATTCTTGTGCAAAAAGAAAATGGCAGCAACAGCATGGCAGCAAGGATAGCCACACATGTACCATTTTCTACATGTGCATGACTTCTGTTCTAAGTCAACAGCACATGTATCCAACCTGTAGCTCACTTGGAATTTTGTGTTTGTTGATGGCAGGACTTCACAGAAGGCAGCCTCCTCCTTTTCCTTGTCCAATTTTTTCTGAATTCTTGGGCACAGAACAGTCACTACTAGAAAAAGGCCCATTTCCGACGGAAAAATTCCGTTGAAAACACCTTGAAATCCGTCGGAAAAGGTGTTTCCGACGGAATTCCGTCGGAAAAGGTTGTCAGAAATGCCTTCGTAGGAAAAACCACCTTTTCCGACGAAAATTCCGTCGGAAACACTATTCCGACGGAATTTCTGACGGAATTTTCCGTCGCAAGACAATTTCTGGTACCTGCGAATTCCGTCGAAAATTTCCGACGGAATTTCCAATTCGGTCGGAAATTTCCGACGAAAATTCCGTCGGAAACTATTTTCGGGAAATTAAAAAAAATACGCCGTGCCACCACCGGCACGGTGTATCACCACCTCCAACCACCCAAAAAGGCCCTGTCAACCCCAACCAAACCAACCTTCTCAAACCCTAACCCACTGCCACCACCAACCACATCAGACCAACACCGCCACTACAGACCACCACAACCGCCACCCACTAAATTAACCCACACCACAAAACCAAACCTAACCCAGACCCAAACCCCTAACCCAGCCCCAACCTAACCCAGACCCAAACCCCTAACCCAGACCCGACCTAACCCAGACCCGACTTAACCCAGACCCAAACCCCCTAAATTCAGACCCAAACCCCCCAAACCCAAACCCGACCTAAAACACCCAAACCCCTCCCAGACCAGAACGAACCCTAACTAAACCAACCTTCGCTCACCACCCAAACCCTAACCCTAACCCTTAGCCCTGGCGGCACCCACCACCACCTCCCTCGACCCACCCTTAAACTGACCCTAAAACCACCAACGAGCCACCAGAACCACCAAATTTTTTTTAAAAAAAAAACTTTAAAACAAAAGAAAGAACATTAAAAACATCAAAGCATACCTTTAATTATGAAATTAGCTTCGAATTTCACCAAATTTAGGTTAATAAGGCTTAATTCGACAATAAAAACTCTAGATCTAGAGTTTTGACTGTCGAATTTAACCTTAAAAACCGTATAAAATAAAAAACGTAAGATAATTGGCGCGGCAAGGGGATTTATAGAGGTTGCAGCGGCGTGAGACGACGACGAAGAGGAAGTACAAAGGAGAGAACGTAGGGTCGTGGGTGAGATGACGGTGAAAGAAGGAGGAGAAGGAGAGGAAGCCATAGATGAGAGAGAAACAGCGCAGCAAAAGAAAGGAGAGAGAATGAAAAGGGGGAAGTGAAAAAAACGGCTAAGGGGTGAAATAAAAGGAGGGCTGATTTTAGGGTTTGTAGAATTTGTTTTGAAATATATTCCGACGGAATATTCCGTCGGAAATTTCCAACGGATTTTAATTCCGTCGGAAAATTACATTTCCAACGGAATTTTCCGTCGTAAAGCTCATATATTCTGACGGATTTATATTCCGTCGGAAATCTCCGACGGATCTTCAAAATCCGTCGTAAATGTCCGACGGAATAAAAATCCGTCGGAATTTCCTATGTTTCCGACGGAATTAGGTGTCCGTCGGAACCAATCCGTCGGTAATAGGCCTATTTCTAGTAGTGAGTCTTCCATTTCAACATCTCTTCTTTCTTCAATGCTAACCTCCTCATCAGGGCACCTCTTATATCCTCCAACATGTAAATCAAATGTTTAGCCCTTGCATGTATTATGTATGCATTGAAAGTTTCAGCCATGTTGCTTGTAACTACATCAACCTTCACCTCGGTCTTCAAGAAGGCCCTACAAAACACCTTAGGGTTGTATGACTTGAAGGCTTCTGCTGCAAGGGGGTCTGCCACTGCTAACTTACCCATTGCATCATTGTAATCAGCTTCACTGTAAGACTTCACACAGTTCCAAAACATCAACTTCATGTCATCCCCCCTAAATTTCTTGTGCTAATGAGCAAAGATGTGCCTTGCACAATGCCTATGCTCTGCATTTGGAAGAACCTCTTTCACCCCTGCCAAAATGGACTGAGAAAAAACATCCAGAACAGAGAATTACACATATAATCTTCACAACTGACATACTACAACAAATAGATCAAAACAAGAAGGAATAAGGAAATTGAAGTTACCTGATGCTCATCTGAAATAATAACTGTGCCACCACCATCACCAAGCTTGATTAGGGAATTTTTCCCACCAATCACCATCTGACAAGTGGACCAATCAGGTTCCGCCATGTGTCCGTCACATGGGCCAATAGGAGCCTGTCACGTGTCAAGCAATGATCCGTCCACTATGGACCAATTACGACACGACACGTGTCTTTCCCATGACACCTGGGATAACTGGTCACCAAGGCCCAACTTCCGAGGGAAGCCCAATCAGCCCAAGGTTAACCTAAACCTAGATTGGCACATTTCCCGAGGTTATAAATACCTCCCTTAATCCTCATTAAGGGAAAAAAAGGCAGATTACACACATTAAACTCTCTCACCTAGAGAGACCCAATCACTTTAATTTCCGCATTAATTACTCCTTAATCAAGTACTAACTTGACCGTCGGAGGCGGATCTCCAATCATCCGGAGCATCCGTTTGTTTTGCAGGTACAGGCGTCCGGTTCCAGTCTCGGAATTGTAACTTTCCCGCAGGACATCAGAAAACCCCGAAACATTTTGGCGCCGTCTGTGGGGAGAGTACTTCTGAGATGGCATCCACGTTTGTACCGACTCCTGAAGAGAGACGTCCCCTGGACGACCCTCTAGTTCAGTCGGACCACGATACTGAGAATGAAATTGAAGTTGAAGCTCACACAGCTTCAGACGGGACCCTAAGGGCCCGACGTACCCGTCATACCGAAAGGAGGGAACGGGAACATCTTCATACAAGAAGCGAGCCAGCAGGTGCACCGCCTGTTCGGCAACAGCCGACTGATGGGTCTGCTCCCATCACAAGGAACGAACTCATGACCTTCATGAGGGACTTCAAGGGAGAAATTCAAGAGTTGATCAACAAGAAGCCGCCTGCTCTGGACAAGGAGCAGTTGGCTAAGAAACCCTCCACTTCACAGAAGAGGAAGCCAGTTCAAGGGCGAGAGGCGACCCCTCATCCTAAATCTAGGAAGCGGGAGCCACCTGCCCTTGATTTCCCAAAATACCGTTTTCCTACTCCAGGAAATAGGAAACCTGTTCGTCATATTCAGGCGGACGGGTCGAGGAAAACATACACAGACGCTCGGCTACTGCTAGAGCAGAAGAAGAGTGACCGATTGTCAGAGTCGGCCTCTACTTCAAACCTCCAAGACAGTCTG